TAAAATAAAAGATTGAAAGGATTAGAGTTGCTTAGTCAAAAAATAGGATATTCAGGTTGCAAAGAAGTGGCTAGTGTCTTCTCTTTATTCCTCAGTCATGGGGTGGGGAAGGTGGTATTTGGTCATTGAGAAACTTTGTCCTCAGGCTAAGGGCAGGGGAAAACTGAATCAGATAGCCTGAGAAGACGGAGACTTGACAAAAATCTTTCTGCCATAGGTAAGTATATGTGGTTCTTTGGTGGAAGGGGAAATCATTAGATGGTGTCTTTAGATTATAAGCCTTACACCTACATGTCAGTGACTTTACTCCCATCATATCTGTTACTACCATTTGCACGTGTGAAAAGAATTCCAACAACTAAATGAAAACTTTGTTTATCCAAAAAAGGAAGTGTGTCTTGTTAATTCTAGGCAGAGGGTCTTAGAGTTGTTTTTTGGGGTTTTCTCTTTTTTTTTTTTTTTTGTTTGTTTTGGTTTTTTTTTACTACTGACAAATGTAAATTCTATTCTTTGATGGAGATCACTGCTTCTTGTTTGCATGTATTTTTAAGAAGGTCACAGCTGCAAGAGCTGCTCGGGAAAACTGTGGTCTTCATACAGCTGCAGCGCTAAGAGAGTGAGAGTGCACTGTGTGAGGATGTTTGTATGCAATCAAGTGAAGTTTCTCTAGCTCAGTACTTGCTACTGTCAGATAAGAAGGGGCTGCTGGCACAAACGTAGAATAATAGTTCCTGTCCTGCTTTTGCAATTTAGAGACATCTTGAGATGGAAATTCTGCTGTTCAACAGATCTGTTTTTTTAATGAATTTTTATACTAATTTTTGAACCTGTTTGTTTCTTGGTGTCAAAAGTGTCTTTAGGCATTGAATTCCCTCATTTAATTATTTACTAGGCAAAGAAGTACTTAAGAGCAACTTTTAAAATTTTATTTGATGTTCCCATGTTCTTCTGGGAAACATTTCAGGCATCTGACATACCATGTCTCTTTGTGCTATCATGATTTTTTTTTTTTTGTACTTTGATCT